CTTTATGGTGCGCGTGGAAAACGATGGTAAAGTAAAACTGCGTGCTAAGCGTACCGACTTGGAGAAGAACAAGCGCCTCAAGGATATGGTGAAGCGTGATAAGTCTAACCAGCAATGCGTCGTCGTTATTGGTGGTGGTCCAGCAGCTGCCACGTGCGTGGAGGCCTTGCGCCAAGAGGGCTTTAGCGGACGCATCGTTATGTTGTGTCGTGAACCGTATTTGCCTTATGATCGCATAAAGCTCTCCAAAAGCCTAGGCATACCCATTAATACGTTGGAATATCGCACTGCGGACTTCTATGCACAATACGGCATTGAGACGCTAATTGGTGTAGAGGCGACTAAGGTTGATACCGTGGCGAAAACTGTGCAATGCTCCAATAACGACTCGATCAAATATGATCAACTCTTTATCGCTACCGGTTTGACTCCCAGAAAACCGCATGTACCCGGAGTCGATTTGAAAAACGTCTTCACATTGCGTGATTATCAAGACTCAAAGGCAATAATGGCAGCAATAACACCGGAAACAAATCTGGTCTGCGTGGGTGGAAGCTTCATTGCGATGGAAGTGGCTGCGTCGCTAGTCAACAAAGCAAAATCGGTGAGTAATTAGGACTAGAGCAGTCAAAAGTTCTTTATCAATATGTGTGAGGAATTTAATTATGCGTATATTATTAAGGATTATAGAATTAATTACCGCTCTACTCTCTACAGGTCACTGTGATATTTACTAGTGATTATCCATTTGCCTTATTCGGCGATGCCGTCGGAAAACTTTTCTACGATCTGTATCGTGAGAAAGGCATCATTATGAAAAATCAAAGTCAACTCTCCGAGTTGTACGGTAATGCCGAAGGTTTTGTCAACCAAGTAGAACTAAATAACGGTAACAAATTCGATTGCGATGTCGTCGTTCTGGGTACTGGTTCGATATATAATACTGGTTTCTTGGAAAACTCCGGTATTCACGTTAATCGCAATGGCTCCATTAACACCGATATGCATCTAATGACAAACGTGATTGATGTCTATGCCGGCGGTGACATTGCCAATGCACCAGTTTTTGCGAATGCGAATCAACGCGAAAGCGTGAGTCACATACAATTGGCACAATATCATGGACGTGTGGCGGGACTCAATATGGCCGGCAATATTCAGGATCTGCGCGCAGTGCCATTCTTCTTTTCACTTATTTTCGGTAAGGGAATGCGTTATGCTGGACATGGTCAATTTTCTGACGTGCTGATTAAGGGTGATTTGGAGAACTTCAAGTTCGTTGCTTACTATCTTGATAACTATGGCAATGTGGTGTCAGTTCTGACAATTGGTCACGATCCGGTAGCAGCACAATTTGCCGAGCTGCTTAGCCAAGGAAAGCGTTTGCATCGCTCACATATCGAGAACGGTGAGAATCACTTGAACTGGACGCATTGGTTGGATGAGAAAAAATCGCGGACACCCTGTGAATGCTGAAGGACGTTTGCTGCGTGGGTTTTATTAGAAATAAAAACATACGATTATAATAATACACGTTATTATAAAAATGAAGTATTACAAACAAAAAATAAATTAAATTAAATATTCATTAATTAAATGTACACACGAAAAACGCTCCCAGCTTGATACATATATATACATATTTATATACTATTTTGCGTGTAATACTCAAGATATTGGAAATAATAAACTTGAAATAAATAATAATAGTGAAAATATCCTTGTATTTGCGTGGAACCCCTTGAGCTATGTACATATGTATGTATAAAATACTGTGGAGTTAAATAAGACGACCTATCGGTTAATCTCTCAAACATTAGATCAGAGGTGGTAGAGAAGAAGAGTGAAATAATTTGGGGAATCTTTAATGCTGCTACAGGCACAAAAGCCACAGATGACCACTCGATTATGGTATAGAAAGTTCTGCGAATAAACGTATCAGGAGATGTAGGTATGAAAATGTGACAGTATCCACACCTTGGGCATTTTAGACAACCCATAAGATAATCAGATAGCATGCCAACTGCTTCTCAAACTAATTTAGGTTTCTTCATGAAAAGGGTTCGAAATTTGACGATCGGGATATGTATGTACGTATATAGAAAAGAACATATTTCTTAATTTTTCATTATTTCAGTTCACCCTGTATTACCTATCGTTAATAATATTGCACAGTCGCAAACATATTTGTTTATACGAAAATTTATTTAAAAATTTTAGCGGTTCCTATTTCACAAAAAATATTAAGATAAAATTTAATAATGTAGAATAAAAATATCCATAAAGGTTATAAAATTCTAATACAATATCAGGTTTAAATTTTTCCCACATAAAAAACACCAAACACTGACAACACTTGCTGTCAAAAATTATCTAAATTCACAACTAATCAAACGCAACGAAGTAAGATTTCTCTTCTGCTGTTGATCAAACGCCCAATAATTTTTTGTTTTCCTATTATACGCGTGTGATTTCTTTCTAAAGTTTGCAAAACATTCCAAAGCACAAATCAACAGGGATAACATCGTTATTTGGCCGTGAGTGCAACCTTAAAGCAGCAGACAGCAGCGATGAACTTTCTCGGATTTGGCCAGTCGGCCGAGATCGATATCGTTTTTGACGGTGCGGAAAACAGGAAAACTGCCGAGCTCAAGTTAGAAGATGGAAGAATTGAAAAAATGTTGCTGTACTACGATGGCGAAACGGTGTCGGGCAAGGCATGTGCACTAAACTATAAAGAAAATATTTACAAAAGAATTGTGAGAAGTTATGATGTTAGATAGAAGGGGGCGTGTACGCAATAAGTGATTTGCGGGGCACTTGTGACGATGCAGCACTGACAGTAGCCAACAGCTGAGTTGGCTTCGGCTGTCCGTTTCGTTGCTTTGCTGGGCCACTTGTTTGTTATGACTTCTATTAGAATCCAATTGGAATGGAACAATTGTTTTAACTGGCATAATTTTATCGTGTTAGCCGATGTAACATGTAAATTTTGTTCGTTTAAGATCGTCGTAGTGTTCTTTCATTCTTGTAATAATAGGGGATCATCGTTTGATACAGTTTTTAATTAGATAATTGCAGATATGCTTACTTTTAAGTATGTTATCACTAATAGATAATCTCTCTTGAATGCAGGTGAATGTGACACTGAAGAAACCTGGCAGTAAATTGGAACACCAAGGAATTAAAATTGAATTTATTGGTCAGATCGAGTTGTTTTACGATCGTGGGAATCACAACGAATTCAAATGTATCACCAAAGCGTTAGCACGCCCTGGTGATCTTATACAAAACCACAGTTATCCATTTGATTTTCAAAATGTTGAAAAACAATTTGAAGTTTATGCTGGTTCAAATGTACGTTTGCGTTATTTCTTACGTGCAACTATTGTGCGTCGCATCAGTGATATTACACGTGAAGTCGACATTGCTGTACATACGCTTTGCAGTTATCCCGAATTGAACAGTCCTATTAAAATGGAAGTAGGCATCGAAGATTGCCTACATATTGAGTTTGAATACAATAAGAGTAAATACCATCTGAAAGATACAATAATTGGTAAGATATATTTCTTATTAGTGCGCATAAAAATTAAACACATGGAAATTGCAATTATTAAACGCGAATCAACTGGCACGGGTCCGAATATGTTCACTGAGAATGAGACAATCGCCAAGTACGAAATCATGGATGGTGCACCAGTAAAGGGTGAGAGCATACCAATACGTGTATTTCTTGGTGGTTACAATTTAACGCCCACTATGCGTGATATAAACAAAAAATTCTCGGTAAAGTACTTCCTAAATCTGGTGTTGATGGACACGGAGGATCGTCGATACTTCAAACAACAGGAGATAACACTTTGGCGTAAAGCGGATATACCACGCTACCACAACCAAGGACAGCAACAGCATACTAGTATGGTGCATGCACATCATCCGCAACATGCTTCGGCACATTTAGCTAGTGGTCCTGCTGCACCCACAATGACAAGTGTAGGCAGTAGTACCGTTGGCACTGGCATAGACAGTGATTCAAGCGCTACAGGTGCAGCGCCCGAGTCCAAAATGGGTTTGTTCACACGCGAGAGTCCCAATCAAGAATTCAGCCAACAAGTAGACTCTTTGCCCACATCACCAACAACACCACCGCCAGTAGAGCGCGGCATTGGTGATGGTGCTGCCGCTACTAACGCTTCACCGGTTATGCTTTCCGCTACACCACCACCATTACCACCAGTGTCTGTAACAGCAGCAACAACAACTACAGCGTCACAGCCTGAGGCGGATGATTTTCTTGCAGCCGAAACCCAACCGATACAAACCCTGGCAATGGATGCGGCACCGGACGAAGACGGTATGACTAATGTGTCGCTGGCACCCACCGATATAGATATCGATGTTGCGCCTACGAAATCGGAATCCAGTGGCGTGGGAACGAAGAAGCGAGAAACTGCCACACCGCTAATTGCGGATTGAGAAATATCTGCGCAAGAGGAACAGACAAACAATTAGTGTTGCAAGTGCTTAAAGCCTTCACTTTAAAAGCGAATTGCTAAACAGCAGTGCTATTTTTTGTTGGTTGGCTGTAATCCTAACAATTCTAACAATATTTATAACAAGCTATTTCCTGGGCCTACGATTTAGTTACCATTTTGGCAAGGCACGCATAAAAGCACACAAACTCACAAGCGAAAAAAATATATGTTTTTTGTTATTGTCCTCGTATCACCAATTATAATATACTGCTTACATTAAAATATGCCCTTATACTTATATACACCCTATATTTTCCAATATTATTAATATTAAATCATCATTGTTTTCCCGAATTTCGTTAATATTACTACAGTAAAAACTCTATTTTAAAGCTAAATGAAAAATGTTACGCGTTGCGCAATGTAGTTTATAGTTAAAAACGAAGTATATCTTTGAAGAGAAGCAAAAGAATAAAGAGATATTTGTATCTTATAGAGTATAAGTAAATCGTATATAAAATATATTATGTATTAAACAATTTATTAATAAACAAGGAAAAACAAATTCACGGTGTGCCGAATTAATATAAGAAATAACTTGCCGAAGTCAAGCGGTATTCCATAACGTGGACCATTTATCAGATATTTTTATATTGTTTAATTTAATATAGTAATTTGTAATTCATAATTTTAATCCCAGGCTTCTTTTACTTTCAAATGTGCAAGTCTCTCCTCAATGGTTATGTGTGGTTTCATTTTGGTTAGTGTGCGTCGGTCGTTCCACATTGCCAACTTAGCTTCGGTCTTTCCCAATTCTTTGGCATGACCCGATGATTCCTCCTACGTAAAAACAAAATTATTTTCAAACAAAAAAAATTAATTATACTTACCACCGTTAAGTAAGGGTGTCGCAACCATAACATATTTTGCTCCTGCCTTTCGTAATCGCGACGTAGTGTTTCAATTGCGCGTTTGCTCACCGGTTTTATAAGTCGGCGCTTACCTCGAAAAATGTGTCCAGGCACAGTTTTTTTGAAGAAGTTAATTAAAGTTAATTGCATTTTTATAAGTTTTTCAGATGCTATCACTAGCACGAGCCGAAAATTAAAACAGCTGATTCTACGAACCAATAAACATACTGCACGCTTTTCACTTCACAGAAGTGTGTTCAATTGAGTAAGTTATTGTATTGTGAATGATAAAACGAAAGCTAAAGTTTTAAAAATTTTGTTTTTATTTTATACAAATTTTCTATACTATATTGGCAGATAATTATTTAGAAACTCGAAAAAAATATCACACGGTAAGTCAATGTGCCAAAGCTGTATTCTCTTCACCTTTGTTATAGAAACGGTCCATGTAATGCACAATTTCAAATCCTACTTCTACCATAATCAATATAATAATCATCCATTCCAACCGAGTGTGATGTGCCTCATCCAAATTGTGCGAGATCAGTTCTGCCAATTCCACACAATGATTAATCTTCTCATTCATCACCTTTGTTCGTCGTGAAATACTGAAGTAAGAGCAAACTTGCAAATATAAGGCCTCCAACTCTTCGCGATCCCAGTAGAAGTCTGGGGTATCTAGCAAATCGGATGCCAAATTTATCTCGTGCCTCAATGCGAATAGCTCACCTGTTTTTCGCAATACCTCGGCTCGTGACATTCGTATGCGTCGCCCCCGTTTTAGATCATCGGTGAGATATTCAATGGAATCTATGTAACGGTCGAGCATGGCCTCCCACATACCTAGCTTTATTGAAGTAGCCATTGCATTGGAGAATGTATACTTTTGCAGAAAATTATCACCGTCGGAGGTAAGAAAGAATTTTCCATTATTGAAAAAAGCGCGTGCCACCTCTGTATCTGATGTGGACACCAAATCACCTTCAACATCAATGGCAGATGATGGAATGTACATGTAAGGCATTACTTCGCTTTCGCCACGCACTAACGGACTTAAGTATGGATCCTTTTCGTATGGACGCAAAAATGATAATAGATTATTTGTTTCAAGTTCATTGAAATTCCACAATACTACCGAACCTTCACGAAAGAAAATAATATCACGCGTTTCCTTTCCCACAGGATATTTCGCTGTAGCATAAAGCACATTTTGTTCCACACCCAGATTATCTGTCGAAAAATATTTTTTAACGGTGTACAAATTTTGTTCGTTTAAGCCCTTCATTAGTGCTTCCATATCATATTCTTCGGCAGTCGTAAAAGCCGATACATTGAAAAATCCTTCCGCAGACAGATTTTCGAAACCGTGGTCATCCCATTTTTTGCGTAAGGTACGTTTTTTTAAAACTTGTGCAACCGATGCGCCAACACTGACTTGTTGTGCGACTTTGCGGCAATGTGCCAATGGTGGTGAAAACTTTAGATCGATTTGTTTCAGCTTTGGATCAAATTGCGTCAGAGATTTCTGAGCGGCACGGTATGTGTTACCACTGCTTATTTGACGATATAAGACGCTTGTTGTCCTCTGTGTTAATGCTGCGCCACCAGCACATCTAGCAAACACGAGACGTGGAAAGTTCATGTTTTCAACAAATTTAAATTTTATTATATTTTATTAATATTTAATTCTCCTAATCTAGCTCTCATATATCTAGCCGCCTTTCCTCGAACAGATGACAAGATTAGTGTTCAATATCAGTTGCGTAAAGAAATTTCGCTAAGCACGTTCAGTTACAGCTTCTGTAAATAAAAGTACCTGCTCAGTGTTCATTGTGAACATTAAAATAAAAGTGTGTAATCTGGCAATAATATATTTATATTTTCTATTGTTCTCTGGAGGAAGGCCCGGTGAAGTGTAAACAATTATTGTTTATATATTTTATGAAAGCAAAAATACGCATAAACATAAATTAATAGTGCTATAAATGTGCCCAACTTTTTACTTGTTTTCTTAAAACGTTGGAAAAATGAAAGTTGCTGTAGAGGGCTGTGCTCATGGCGAGCTGGAAAAGATCTATGAAACCATTCAAAGCATTGAAAATGAAGAGGGCTTTAAAGTTGACTTGTTACTTTGCTGTGGTGATTTTCAGGCTACCCGTAATCTCGAAGATTTGCAGACAATGGCTGTGCCGCAAAAGTACTTGGATATGTGTACCTTTTACAAGTTAGTCGTAACCGTGAAAAATTTGTCACATATCACTTAACTATTCGTATTTTTAGATACTACAGCGGTGAACTAGTGGCGCCTACACTAACAATTTTTATAGGGGGTAATCATGAAGCTTCCAATTATCTACAAGAACTTCCGTACGGTGGTTGGGTAGCGCCTAATATATACTACCTAGGCTATGCGGGAGTTGTGAAAGTTAATGGCGTACGCATAGCAGGCTTGTCAGGTATCTACAAAGGTCATGACTATTTACGTGGACGCTTTGAATATGCGCCTTACACAGACGCCACACGCACCAGTGTTTACCATGTGCGACAGCTGGAAGTGTTTCGTTTAAAACAATTATCTGGTGAAACAGATATATTTATGTCACACGATTGGCCGCGTGGTATATACAATTATGGCAATAAATCTCAATTGGCACGTTTCAAACCACATTTTCGCGATGAAATGGATAGAGGTCAACTGGGAAGTAGACCTTGTGAGGATCTACTAAAAATTTTAAAACCCAAGTACTGGTTCGCCGCACATTTACATTGTAAATTCGCCGCTGTGGTACCACATGATGAAGTGGATGATAACAGTTTAGAAACTGATGCAAGAAATTGCGAAGGAGATTTGAGTCAAAAAGGAGTTGGCGAGAACAAGGACGAAAATATAACTAAATTTTTAGCTTTAGACAAATGTTTGCCCAAACGACGATTCCTGCAATTACTCGACATAGAAACGTCACAATTTTCTGAAGGCGAAATTCGTATGGAATATGATCTTGAGTGGTTAACAATACTTTACTTGACGAATCATTTGACAAATGTTAAAGCATCAAAATACTATCTACCGGGTCCACAAAATGCAGCCAGCACTGAGCGTTATAATTTTACACCCACCGTTGATGAAATGGAACACGTACGCAATAAATTTGCCGCTGACCTGGAGGTGCCAAAAAATTTCACCCGCACTGTTGAAGCATACAACCCTAGTGAAGATAATAATGCACACGTACTGCAACCGAAAGCCCAAATTAACCCACAGTCTCAGCAGTTTTGCGATGCTTTAGGTATTGACGATCCTGTGAGCCTAGCGTTAATAATTGGCGGACACGAACTGAACTACTCGGCTACACTAAATGAAAGCACAGACACAGAGTTCAATGATTCCGCTACATCCTTGCAAACGGAACACTCTAGCTTGAATATGTCAGGTAGCACAGGCGATGCGTTGTCGCCACGGCAGATAAGTCCTTTTAAACGGAAGAGTAGCATGGGTCTAAATTTGCCAAAACCCATAGCTGAAGTGGAAGGCGTGGAAAGTGAGTTAGAAGTGAAAAATTCCGATGAAATTCATATTGATAATAGCTCTGGGGATGAAACAGAAAAGGTGCTTCCATTGGGAGTGGAAACATCAAACGAAGTTGATGAGCAGACGAATATTTTGAGTGCGAAACCACCGATAAAAAAATTTAAAAGACGTAATCAAAGCGTGTACATGAACGAAGATAAAGAGGTCGAGGAGTAAGTCTATTATTTATATATTCTCATTATTTGCTATTTTTTAATTATGTAAAAAAACTTAAAATTGATATTTTAATAAAGAAACTACATAAATTTCGACAGAAATATTATTTATTATATAATGCACTTTATCTATGTTATATACATACATTTTTTTACAGCAAAATAATAAACATTTATTTTTTAAAGTTAAACAACTTTGGTAACACATCACCACATTTAGCAGACAGCTTTAAGTCCGCCAAGTGATCAGCGCGCGTCTCGCCAATATTTACAATTGCAACTGGCAGATTAAGGTCCTTTGTTTGCAGTACCATACGATATCCTGAAAACACAAGCAAACTGGAACCGAGTACTAACAGCCCATCGCTATTGTAAATCATTTTCGCGATCTGCTCCACACGCAACTTTGGCACATTATCTCCAAAGAACACAATCTCGGGTTTCAGATGTCCGCTGCACTCCGGGCATTGTGGTATGCGAAAGTTGGTAACGTACTCGGCTGGTATTTCCACATCGCCATCTGGGCGTATCATATCTGGTGCATCACGAAATTCCGGATTTAAACTGTTTAATATATCCTGAAACTCATGCCGATCGATGCGATATTCGCATGATAAACATTTCACCACATAACCACTACCATGTAATTCGATTACATTCTTGCTGCCAGCCTTCGTGTGCAATCGGTCGACATTCTGCGTTACAACCGATTGTATGCGCCCTTCGCGTTCGAAGCGTGCCACTGCATGATGTGTATGATTGGGCTCTGTAGACGAAAAGCTTGGCCAACCAACAAAATTCCGTGCCCAATAACGTTGACGTACGTTAGCAAAGCGTACAAATTCCATGTGTTGTATGGGTTTATGATTAGTGCGTGCATAAAGTCCTACGCCCTCAGAGCGGTAGTCAGGTATGCCTGTCGGTGTATACACTTATAAGTTGGGTTTTTAGATCAATCAAGCTTTCTGTGCATAATTTTAATGCATACCAGACTCTGTTGATATTCCAGCGCCAGTTAACACAACTATATTGGACTTAGACATCAAAAAATCCTGTAGGCGTTTGATATCCTCCTCCAACACCGGATTATGTTTAGGCACATACTGTTGTTTCACGGACCATTTATTGCTGGATAAATGAAAGCGTAATATTTGACTAAAACGCATGTTATTCTAATTTTTTTTAGATAAAAAGGTTCAATGTACTAGTAGAAAACAAATCACATAACAATAAAAATAAAACGACGTACACATATACTATAAACAAAACGAAAACAGCTGTTTTCACAGTCACAATGATAAAAATAATATTTTGTGTATTTTAGTTACAGAATTGATAAATATTTTTTCCACAATTTGAATAATTTAGTTTACAACAAATAACTATTTTCAACAACATAATGGAAACTTTTACAAAATGGTTTAATAATTTTAACAATATATTAGAAAATAATACGCATTACTTCCTTAATTTATATGTGTTTATGACCACTTGATTTTACATATCTTTACTTAATAAGGAAATAAAGTTAAGTAAGATAATTTTGCTGTAGTTTGTGAATAAATATATCGCAATCCGGAAATAATTAATTGATAAAGCAAGACTAAAATTTTTATAAAAATTTAAATAAATTTTGTACGTGATTTTTTGCAATTGCATTTTGAAGTTTCTGGTAACCTCGTCATCATGTCACTTCATTTTCGTTTTCACGAAACTTTCGAAGTATTCACGAGCGTTCAGTGTACGATGCAAAAGAGGCAAAAGTCAGTTTGTCAGTTTGAATCAGTTGAAATGCAACCGTTTGGGAGTTTTGCCGGTAATTTTTAAGTATTTTAATCGTTTTAGATATGTAAATGTGTGAACGTTTAGCTGTAATTAATTATCGCTGCTGTTCCCTCTTGGATTAAGTGCATTTAGTGTAAATTTGCTTGTTGTGCTTCCAGTGCGCTACACTTGACGTGCAATAAAAACAGTTTGTGTTCATAATTTGCACTCCATTAATATTTTGCGCACGCACACCTAAATTGTGATATTAAACAACAGAATAAGAAAAAGCCATTGTGAAAGTTGTAAGAAGTATTAAAGGAAAAATATTGGTATATATATGTAAGCGAGGCAGCGAAACTTCGTTAGCAGCTGCAACAAAACAAGAACGACGCGAATCAACAGCTCTGCTTCCACGTACACTGTGAATTGACGCAACGTGCTGTTCTTGCTCCTTTTATTTTGTCTGCTTCGCAAGAAAATTCGCTGTCATCGACGCTGACGTCGCCGCTAACCGAATTTTGCTGCAGAAACCGCAACGCTACGTATGTGAAATTTGATTATTGTTTTTTTCGTATTGTGTTGGGTGCGTTGACTATACGTTGTATTAATTTAAAGCGTTTATTACACGTTTTGTTTCTTTTCTTAACCGAAACAATATACCATAACTAAAAGTGAAAAAAAAGTATAACGAATTATTAAATCCATAATTGAACAAAGTCGTTGCTTAAGTAAAAGGCGAACACAGGACAACAGCAAAAAGACAAAATGTCAGACACAAAATCGGTAAGTTCAGTAATTAAACCTTAGAAATTCCACAAATTTTTCGAAATCTCCAGTCTATACGTGCTTATAACACCATTTCTTGTTCAATTTGTTTCTATATTGAGTTTTATTTATAAATTCGCTGTACGAGAGCTGCACATAAATGAAACAGTCATTCAAGGGCGCGGTTGTCGTTGCAGCAGGTCAATCCGAGAGCAGTTTGCTTCATTAGCTGATAGCATGTGTGCCTGTGTGCTTGTTTCCTTACTGCCTGCGTCTTCCCATGCCTTTTTCTGGTTTTGCGGGTTTGTTTTTCCTTTTTCACTGAGCAATGTTACAAATATTATATATCAATAAATGAGTGGAAATGCTCAAGTAAGAGAAATATAAAAAATATACACTGTGCTTTGAAATTTCTTACAAATAAAGCGATCCTCCCACAAATATTGAATTTGTGCTGCTCAAACCCTTGCTTAGAATTCACATACTTTATTAACATATGCAGCTGCAGTATATTGATATGTATTCCAGAGAATGATTGTACATTTAACAATGTTATCAAAATCAGAAAAATCAAATATTTGCACTGAATGGGGCAAATTATATCTCAGAAATTAGTCATGATAATAAGAATTCACAAAGCCCCCTAACTATAAACTGCAACCCTTTGATAACTTCAGCACAAAGTCAATTGAACCCAAAAAACAAAAAGCTAATTAAAATTAAATAGTTCAGATAATATTTACATTACAAAGAATATTTTTGATGTTTTTTTTTTGTAATACACTTAATATATTAAAAAAAAATCTGTAATTGTTTATTAGATGACTTTTATCAATTGAACTACCTAGATATGGATTGTATGTATGCAAACATCAATGTTTCTACCGCGTCAAGATAAAGTGTGAAACTCATTGCTAATAGCTCCAAAGTAGATAATGTATAGTAAGTGTATATTATGGTCTCCACAAAACACACAATATATTATACTTTTCTGTTGATTAACACATTAATGCTTAAAAGCCATACAACAAAATCGTATGTTTACATTAACTAAACAAAGAGGTGAGGAAGACACATGAGAAATGGTTGACTGATAAATGTATTAGTTTCAGTTTTCTGTACCATATTTGATTTTTGTTTATTTTCATCCGTATCTAGTACATAAGCCCTATTTTCAGTTACTTTATTAATTGGACCGTCAAACCATGGTTTTTGAACTAAATTTCATAACTGCACCTTATTTTAGAATGATCCATATTTTCAGCTCCTCCCAAAGGCTTTCAATTGGATTGACGTCGAAGGACTAACACACATCGTTGTACTGAAACCAAGCTTTTACCAACTCATAGTTTGTTTAGGATCGTTATACTGTAGAATTTTTCATATAAGTGGCATACTTTCCGTAGCGTATGGCAGCATCATCGTGTTCTCCAAAATGTCTTTGTATTGGAATCTATTCATGTTCTCTAATTTTACTTTCATTCGTTTTAGAAATTCTAAATTAATCTTAATTATGGACAATAACGGCACTATTGCCATAACCTTAATTTGCGTGCAATATGCCATATTATAACAGACTCGACTGCAAAAGTCAGTCAGCTCAAACAAACTCGAACATATCCGTTTGACAAGTGGTAGACAGTTCAAAAACCTTTATGACAACAACAACGAGGGGAAAATGTAAAGAACACATTAATAAAAATAAAAGAAAAAAAAATCGTCGCTCTTCCAAAACAAAAACACATATGTAAGTATACGTTCCGGGGACGAGTGTTGTGCACAAAAAGCGAGTAGTAGCAAACAGTATGTCGAATTAGAACGCTACTGCAACACCCACGAATGCTAAGCAGAGCCAGAGCGCAAAAAATCAAACAATAAGTACTCGTAAAGCGTACGAATGTACTCCTAAGTGTAAAAGTTGCTGTAAGTGCAGTACTGGCGGCACCGTCGCTGGCTGAATGTCTGTCGTTTTTAAATTGTGGCTTGCCAATATGAAACCATTTGAGCGAGTGAGAATTGTTGAATTATTAATTCAGTAAGCTGAATTGTAATGTTGAGTTAACCTAGAGGCGTACAGAAGTACGAGCAGACAGTAACGCCATTATGCATTCTTATCTGCCTTGAAGCGCATTTCAAGTGCCCTCCAACGAACACTGCCGCTGGAAATGCAATGTTTCCATTGTTTCGTTTTACTGTGACTATGATCCCTCAAAGCGTTTGTGTTTGGATATGTAAAGCGTGTAAATTATGTCGTCAATGCTGTTACGAGTGTTATTCATTTTTGAGTATACAATCAACCTAGCGGTTCGCGTTACAGATCGATTTGCTTGTATACTCCCTCCCCGCCAGCTTTCGGACGTGTCCTCTTCACCCAGCCAATTGTGTTTGAGTTTGACTTTTAATGGCTTTGCTTGAAATAATTTCTTTTTGTATAGAAAGCGCTTATGATAAGTGTGTTGTTGGCACGCAAAATATTTTGCTGTGATTGAAATGCAATGCACGCAGTATGACTACAATTTCTTATCGTTTGTGTTTGCGAAAGCGAAAATTCCATTGGTTCGGAGCGTTGTTTATATTGAAAATCTTATGAATTAAAAATTTCTGTCTGATGTGTGATTTCGTGCCTACAGTCGCTCATGAATTTAATATGCTTCAACAGCTAGCCTCAAATAAAAATATGAACATTTTTTAATAAAGGTCTGCGTAAATTTTCTTTTTTTTTTATTTCTACGGACCAAATGTGCGAAATTGAAAGAGAAATAATTTTTTATAAGTAGACTAGCTTATGGGATTGGATCAAGTGTGTAATTAAATATATATGTAAATGCATTTATACCTAGCATTAATTAAAGCTTAGAAAATTATAGTGCAATATCGGGCAAATATGTAGAAAATTACCAATACTTTATTTATATAATAATAAGTACTTGTATGGTTTTGACTGTTTTTTTATATCTTGAACAAATTATATTAAATAAGCTACGAAATTTGTAACACACAGGAGTAAAGGTTTGTATATATTTTTCAACATTTTCTCCCCAAGAAGCTGCGCATTTGTCGGAACTACATCAGACCACAACTTGTAACTTCCATATCAAATCACATCATATACAGAGTCGGCTCCCCTGTAGTTACCTTGTAATTTCCAAATCAAATCATATCGCGTTTTGAGAGTCTGCTAAACACTGGCCAGCCGTGGTGACTGTTTTTCTTATATAGCGATAGTTGCTAACCAGGCTTAGATAATAGAAAATAAAAGGAAATTTACAACACCTAGCTTTTTGAAATACAACTCTTTTCACGCTTAGTTTTTGATGCCAAATTTACTCTTTCATAATCGTTTTGATTTTAAAATCCTACTGTAATTCCTCTTAACTCTAAACTCAGTTAATTACAATTAACAAGTGCATCATATTTCAAAGCAATGCAATATCAAAGTCACAACAATAGCATAATTGCATTACAAATACTTAATTCGTTATTAATTCACCACAAATCTTCACACGACTAGCCGTCAGTGCGCTTTCGGTGACATTAAATGCATTGTTGTTTTATTATGTCATTTATTTTTGTTTTTTGTCGTTCGTATTACAGTTTGCAGCGTGGTTATATTTTAAGTTCCTCATATCCAGCAAGAATTTATTTCTGTTTAATAAAAAGGCTAAACGAAAATTTATAACAATAACAATAAACATTTTTTTGTCATATTTAAGTTAGTTTATGTAAACAATTGTTAACTTACGTATATGTAAAAGTTAAGCACTGACAGAGTGTTAAATGTAAGTTCAGAACGCAATCGCGCGTATAACAAAAACTGGGACCAACCCAACCCATCTTGTCGACTCATTAAATACAGTATAAACTGACTGACTGAATGACTGCAATTTTAATTTTCTGTTGCTTTATGCTATTTGTGTGCGGTGTAAGGTGTATAAGACACGCGGCTGTTGTGCCGTCACGTTTCTATAGTGGCTATGCCATCGCCTGTGCGCTCGAATGACTAACCAACCAGTCAGCCATATACCTGTCTCTTATACACATCTAGATGTGTATAAGAGACAGGTGTAAGGTGTATAAGACACGCGGCTGTTGTGCCGTCACGTTTCTATAGTGGCTATGCCATCGCCTGTGCGCTCGAATGACTAACCAACCAGTCAGCCATATACTTACCACAAAAGCTTAACCACCAACTACGGGACCAATCGGTCTTATGTGTGGCATCAATTACAATACTGTTACATTCAATTTAATTTCACACTGATATCGCGTTTTCTCAGCCGTAGACTTCTTTCTCCACCAAAACTATATTGCTTTTATTTTCGTTTTTAGTTTTCGAGTATTGAAACACCTGGCTATGTGGGCTTTGCCAATCTACCGAATCAGGTGCATCGTAAATCGGTGAAGAAAGGTTTTGAATTCACGCTGATGGTGGTCGGTGAGTCGGGCTTGGGAAAGTCTACATTGGTCAACAGCCTGTTCCTGACAGATTTGTATCCAGAGCGCGTGATACCAGATGCTATTGGTGAGTTGTCATGTATAGTTCTGCATTTGTATAAATATTAAATTTTTGCTATTTTTGTTTTTAGAAAAACAAAAACAAACCGTGAAACTAGAAGCTTCCACAGTGGAGATAGAGGAACGCGGTGTCAAATTGCGTCTAACAGTTGTGGACACGCCGGGCTTTGGAGATGCTATCGATAATTCGGATAGTTTTAGCGCCATACTGGAATATATAGATGAACAATATGAACGTTTCTTGCGCGATGAGAGCGGACTGAATCGGCGCAATATTGTGGACAATCGTATACACTGCTGTTTCTATTTTATATCGCCTTTCGGGCATGGGTAAGTCGACATAGTAGACCTTCAGCCACAAAGGAACAAAATCCTCAAATAGTTGGTTCTTGGGAACAGTTTTTGCACAATTATCAAAGCAAGCAATATCAAAAGTTACGTCAGGATTGGGAAGGACCTCTCCGAACCGTTCGATACCAAACGAGGTTTCAGAGAAGGTGACTCCCTTTCGTTCGACTTCTTCAATCTGCTCTTGGAGAAAATAATTCGAGCTGTAGAACTTAGTATTAACAGCAGCAGCAACAACTCTTGCCACCAGGTGCTACTTTGGACTGAGGAGGCAATTGAGAAGTAAAGTCCTCTCTTGGCAAACAAAACACAGACGTGGATGATGAAAACATCTGATGTGTCGGTCTTAGGAGTTTTCAAGAGAAAGTATATATCCTTTGAGCGCTTTGGGAGTAGGGACGAATTTTTGTAATAATAACTGAAAAACATATTTGTCTAACTATAAAACCTTATTAATCATACGCTCCGTTGCTCTATTCTACAGCCTCAAACCTTTAGATGTTGAATTTATGAAGAAATTACACTCTAAAGTGAATATAGTGCCTGTGATCGCGAAAGCTGACTGCCTCACAAAGAAGGAGATTCTACGCCTCAAATGCCGGATTATGCAAGAAATTGAGGATCATGGCATTAAAATATATCCACTGCCCGATTGTGATTCCGACGAGGATGAGGACTATAAAGAGCAAGTGAAACAGCTGAAAGAGGCCGTGCCATTCGCAGTATGCGGTGCGAATACGCTGCTGGAGGTGAAGGGCAAAAAAGTGCGTGGACGCTTGTATCCCTGGGGTGTCGTGGAGGTGGAAAATCCTGATCACTGTGATTTCATTAAATTACGCACAATGTTAATGTGAGCTAAGCTTTTGGCTTTTTTAATAAATGCCAATTTAGTTATATTTTTTCTTCATTTCATTTCAGCACACACATGCAGGACCTACAAGAGGTCACACAAGAGGTGCACTATGAAAATTACCGTTCCGAACGTTTGGCTAAAGGACGCAAGGAGAATGGCATGAAAGTCGAACGTGACTCTATGGTACCAACGCAGATTGTTGTGAACAGCGTCATTTCCGAAAAGGATCGAATATTGCAAGAGAAGGAAGCGGAATTGCGACGCATGCAAGAGATGTTGGCACAAATGCAGGCCAAAATACAAGCGCAACAGTAGGTGTAGCACACGGATCTTATTCATATATATATATAAATATGTAGAGCAAGTGTAAGCATAAAAATAAATTACAACAAACGCAACTAAAGCAGCAGAAACAATAATAAAGATTTAAGGCAAGCATGTACCAACGCTGCTGCTCAGTTATGATGGATATAAAGCAAAGCACGGCTTAGCATTGCATTCCTATTAGTCACAACTACCACAAGAGCGCGCAAATGAAAAATAAGAACTTGTATGTACGGTGCTTATTAAACATACATATAAACGCATAAAAAACTTGCAAAAAATGTTTTAAAGCACGTTTTGTTTTATTTCGACAACTTCTGTTGGAATTTTGCGATAGCTTTTACACATATACTTTCATATAGGCATTATTTTTGTAATTCGTAAATCTTTATATATTAAACAACAAAATCTATGGCGTATTATATTTTATATATATAATTAATAATAATTATGCTTATGTTTAATATTAGCTTATAAAAAAAAGCATACAAACATATTTTGTATTTTCTTATGTCGTTTTCATGCTGCAAAATAATTTATATACACAAACATATACTATAATTTTGTAAGCGTAAAACAAAATTTTATACACAAAGTTGCATATTCAAGCAACCAATACAAACATACATACATACATTTCATAAAAATACATGTTTAAGGCGTAACAATAATAACGAAAGAACTCAGTACAACTTCCAACACATATACTTTTATAATATTTTATTTAAACGTTTTTCAAACAGACACACACACCTTGAAACACATTCTAAATTTTGCTCATAACTAAATTAAAAGTAATTTATATATGTATGTAACTGTATATACGCATACCATACATAATCACTAAACAATTGCAGTACGTATACATACTTCACTGTAACATAAAAATTTGCAAACATATTTACGCACACATGTCTCCAAATGATTCCTCGCACACTATTATGTTGCTTTGCCACTAATGCCTATGTGCCACACCAGTTCCGCCCCGTTACTTTTAACTGTAGACACATGTCCTACAATATTTGCATTATAATGCATGCTTATACATACATAATTGTTTTACAGCCATCAAACTTTAAGAAACCACACTTGTACATGCTTATATATGTAAATGTTATGAAAAAGCTAATACTTTGAACCTAAATGCCGGCATATGCTAGTTAGTTACAAATCAGTTTTTTCAAATTCATAAAAAATTCGGCGAAAAGTTTATTTGTATAATGGACTTGCTTAAATTTGAACTGTAAGCCTAAATTAAAGTCAATGATTGACATTTATAAATGCACAATCTTATAACAATTCAAATTATGCATTAAATTTTATCTCTACAGAAAAAATTAACCTAAATATGTTTATTTGGCATTCCATTATGCAGTTCATGCGCCTTACCCCAACAGCATATTTAAAACTGACTCAAAGTAAAACTCGAACAAACTTGTTAGATTTTTCTCATTATAAATCAATTGAAGCTTTTATAAATATACGCTTGGTGCTCTGGCTTTTCTCCTCCGTAGATTTTCCTATACATATACACAGTGCTAATATGCAAATCTTGGGTAATATACCCAGTACCATACATATGAACGATTTAGAATCATAGTACATACAAATTAATTGAAAAAATTAAGATTATAAAATATTTTGTAAAAGTTTAGTGCTAATTACATATGTATAATTACAAATGCCGCATTGAAAATAAATATACATGTATATAAATACGTACATATTTATGTGTATTTCATAATTAAGAGTATACGCTATATATTGCTATATATTCGCGCCAGTAAAAAACAAAATTAAATACAGACGATTTGCTGTTGATTAACTCAGTTATGCAATAAATACTAAAAAACACCACTAGTTAAACAATTTCAATTAAAATAACAAAAATTATAAAAACAAGAATTGCTAGCTGCAATTGCATGCATAATCTGAGTTGTATCTTATGGTTGATGTACAGTGGCATATACATAGTCAGATAATGCAAAGAAACATGTAATTATAAAAATATAAGTTATATGATAATAAAAAATATAAATACATTTATACTCGCTTTTATACCTACATAAAAATAACATGCTGTATTTTTTTGGTTATTGCTAGAAATTTCATGTACATAATTTTTTTAAATAATTTTAAAATTTTTACATATATACATATGTACTTCATTCATACATTTGTAAAATTAAATAACTTAAAATTGGTGAAGCTACATATTTTGAATAACCATAAACAACACAAATGAAGCGGAAAACCGGTAGTTGTTGTAGCGACAGACGAAATCTCTGCAGTAAGTTGGAGGTATATAATTTAATAAAATTTCAACATTGTGTTGTTAAAAACGCACAACTGCTATGGAAGTATTCAAGGTGATAACCCGCATACACGATTAAAGCCGAGTTCTACGTACCGGAATTGACTCGGATTTCATCCGACCATGGGCTGTC